CGTCGGGACACCATCGGTACTGCGAAGTGGATTTGCTCGCAAGGCGGGAACGATGGTGGGGGCTACCAAAACGACCACAAAGGCGATCAAACATTGCCTCCAAAAAGCATTCCAAAAACGTTCACCCCCCGGAGATGCTCTTTATGAAAAATAGCTCCACGTAAACCTCTGTAGGATACATGGACTTCAAGTATGGTTTGACCGACGTACGTATAAGGAAGTAATTCAAGAAACGGCAACCCCCCCCCCTCGGGAAGCTCTACGTACAACTATTTTATTATACAAAGCTCAGCAGAATTCATCAGTCGGGCCTCAGCGTTCCCCCCATGGCGACTTACAAAGACAGCCTTGACGAAAAGTACGTCCTCAAGCGTCGTCCGGTTCATCGCCTTCCATATCCGCACTACCCCATCGGAAGCTCCCGTGACTATATATCCCCCATAGGAGGCAACGCTCACTACCCCCAGCGCTGGAGCCGACTTGTCCGACCCAGACTCGGTGAATTCGGCAAATACATGTGTATGGCACAGCACGGTCTTAGGCTCCGGAACTCGGGTGTCCCAAATCGCCGCTATACCGTCACTGGTTCCCACGATCAGCTGGTTGTCATTCAGTACTTGCCAGCATAGCACGATGCCACCGTGTAGATCCATAGATGTGCCGAAGGTGCGGTATGGCCGACAGGCAGCGGCCAGGCCTGTGGAGCACGGTTGAAAACCTGTGTATGTACCAGATTGGCACACGAAGCCCCCATGGCCTTCACTAGCGATCAGCGACGGTTTAGGAGGGTCCGCTGGAGGCAGCCGCTTCCGGTGTGGAGGTGAATAGCCGAGCTGTGCAGTAGCAGCTGCATCCGCCGAGCCCTCTTGGTGGTGCATAGGAAGTGGGACAGACGGCTGTTGGACAGTAGTAGAGGAAAAACACCAAGACTGAGCACGATCACTCGGGCAACCCGACTTCTCATACCGTAACAGCCCGAACAATTGATAAAACACTACAAGCATCTGTGTATTACGAGAACGGCCAACGTGACCATGCATGCTATCAGCAGTCAGCTTCCTGGACCAGTCCTAGTCGGGCCATCTGACAACAGAATGAGTACTACAGCCTTTCCCACTACCCCCAACCTGAGCCCGGCGCTTCGCCTGACGTGTTGAGCTCTTCCTCTGCTCCTCCATATAAGCTGTCCTACATGCATCGCTACAGAACGGTCTTTCATCTCGAAATACGACGAGGAATGCGTCCTGGCAAGCGCCGAAATTCCAATATATTTTCTCTCAGCTTCTACCCGGTGAATCTTCATGCAGTAATAGCAGCACCAATAGCCTTCCTCACGATGGGCCTCCGTGGCCACTTCCACTTGGCGGGCGGGCAGCCTGTAGTCGGAGCCGCCGCACTCTCGTGAGGACCAAAAACCCGCACTTTCCCTCCACTGGTGCACCTTCCAAGATTTCGAGACAAGTTGCATGACAATCATTACCGCCTCTGCGAATCGCTCAGCTTCCAGCCTCTCGTCCGGACCCTTCTCCACGTAGCAGTTCACCGGCTGCGCCCCCTGTCCCGCCAGACCCCTAACTTCAACTTCAACCTCATCTACTGCAAGGGCTCACTCAGTCGCACTGCTGCTTGTACATACACGTTCGCATTTCGACCAGGCCGAGGACGTTTCCTGCCTGCCAGACCTAGGACTTCCTCACTATATGAATGTACTAGCCAAGGCGATGAGCATGTCCTACGATTTAGTCTTCTGCATAGAAGCTCCAGTAGACATCCCCGCACTGACTCGTTCAGAAGGAGCAGATGAAGACTGGTTCGAGTCAATGGCCGGGAGTCGTCGCGGCCGGTGCTTACGCTTAAGTACGTGATCAGCGAACCCCCTAGTGAGCTGAGAGGGTGCACATGACCGAACTGAGGATCCCTTTCCTACTGGCTCGACGGTAGAGGCCGACTTCCAACTGTGATGGGGAGCCATGGAGACAGCCTGATAAGGGAATAAAGCCACTGGACGTCACATCTGCATCAGCCCCGTGATATACGTACTTCTCGTGCTAGTCTAACCTTCCGCAGCTCCTCAAGAATCGCTTCATTTTGCTGTATTAGCTTCTTCGTGGCGGCGGCCGATACTTCTATCTCCCTCAGCCGTGGAACCATACAGGGAATATTCCTACTGCAAGGCACCCTCAACGAGCCCGCCTGTGTCACCAAACATTTACACTTGCACGCATACACACGTCACGCGTGCAAAACTGTGGTAGTAGCAGCAGAGATTACTACTGACCTCTCGCCTCTGACGGCCTGTCGTCCGAGACAATCCTAGCATATGATCCGGTACCAGCGTGGTGAGGAAACTGCTCACACTAATCGTGTCCTAAGCTCAACTGAACTGAGACAACCCAGGAATCCTGGAGAGTTACGAATAACGAGTGCACGATATTGCTTCCCGCGTGATGGTGCCCATCACAGACGTCATGAACCTACCTGTGCTCAAGATTTTAACATATAAAGGCCATCCGACCATACATGTCCATACTCCCACATACATAAACACATATGGGACGCACTAAGAAGCCAACGAGTCTTACCGAGCCGTTGCGTGTCGAACTTGACACTGTCGAAGTCGTGACGTGTCAACGGATACCCGGATTCACCATATCCATTTGAGTACCTGTTTGTCCATGCGAACAATGCTGGCCCTCGGGAAAGGACCAACATTGTTGTAGTGCCCCTGACAGCTAACACGCCAGATTCAGTGCGACAACGCAGAATTCGCATCCCATGCATCTTGCCCGACCTCCGAATTTACGACAAAACCCTCCACTAACTTGCAGGACTTAGTGGTGCTAAGTGCTGATACAGTACCACTCTGAGTGGTTGCTGATATACAGCGATGTGAAAAGGGATACTCAACGCCCCCTCTGAAAACTCACATCGACATTGCCATACTGTGTAACGCGAAACATAACGACAATATAATCCTCGGCGGCCGACGGCAAATTCTATAACGATGAGATCACACTACAAAACCAAGCACAGCTACTCAAGGGCGATAACGAGGGTATTCGACATACACCCGGGATCCGACTAGGAAAGTATATTATATTCCCCTTGACTACGTCGTTAATCATATCTGCACGGAGACGAGTCTATTACGGATACACTAGTAGCTGAAAAGGTAAGTTGCCCTCAAGACTGGAACCCTGTCATAAGATTAGCAACAAACAATGTGGTAGCACAGTCACTATCAATCATCATCATAATTGCAAATGGTCCTTGCCATGTCACTTTCTCGCTCTACATCTACCGAGAGTGTCGCGACATCGAACGCGACAGTCCCCTCAAAAGTACACTGCAGTCCTGCAAAAAATATAGGTATAATGGGATAGGTGCTGGTGGTGGCTTATCAACGCCACACCGAGAGACTATCTACAAACCACCATCAAAGTGCAACCTCGAAGCTGACCAATACTAGCTAGCTGAGAGATAGCACTAGGACAACGTAGTTATGCTGTCGAGCTGCTCCGCACAGGCACCAGAGGGGAGACCTGCACGCATGGTGTCGTCTTGCTTCGACGAGGCCATCGACGTAGCACCACAGTCTGTGCCGAACCATCTTCTATCCTCGAGATACACCCCGGGGCAAGAGTCTGTACTTCAAAACGGCCAACTTGTTTGCGAGGCATGAGTTGGGCCTGCTCAGGGAAGCAATCACATAAGAACCGACCGACCCGGCGAATGCGTAGAGGCTCGATTGCCACGCTGGAAGCCGTACTGGAGCTACTAGTATAGCCACAGTCGAAGGTGTTAACACTGGACATAGACTTCACCGAAGCATCACAACAGACGCTTCCGGAACCATCACCGCAACAGTCACGGTAGGAGACTCTGGTGTGGTAGATGTGGGACGCTGCTACGCCTTCGGAATCCACCGCCTCCTCAACGACGAATCTACCACGCCTCTGGACGCCACCGATACGTAGCGGGACCGATTCGGCCATGAAAGGAGACCCGGAGAGGACCCCGTTAAGAGATTATCCAACAACACCTGCACATGCGCTTAAACCCAATGGAATGCTCGGCGACAGACAAGAGTCGATCTCGCTGCGATCATTTCATGGCGAACCACTTTGCCCTCGCCCGGACGAACTTGAAACGCGCACAGGATTTTCCAGTTGGTTGTCCATGAAAACAGTGAATCCTGGAAATGGTGAACCGGAATAAATTTCCCGCGAACCCTGATAACAGTGAAGGAACTAGCGCGCGCCACGAGCGCGCGGCAACAAAATTCAAGCCGGGATCCCCTTACGTCATATGTGTTGCAATCGATCGGTTGGTCTAGTGGTTAGGCGTCAAAGTTAGTAACCGGCTGCCCAAGGTTCAAATCCTGCGATTGTCATGGTAATTTTGTAATTGAGACGCGGTTCAACCGGGGCAGTTGAGGAACTCAACTTGAGGTATTGACCAGCTAGGGTCAGTAAGCTTGCCTAACTCAGCTGGTACGCCTCCTTAGCAGTTACTCCGAGTCCACGAGTTGTAATACAATGCTATCCAGGAGCTCAGTATAGAAGTTGTATTTGTTCACGTTCAAGAGGAACAGGCATTAGGACCTGTTGCCTCATGCATGGCTGTTTATCCTTGTGGTACTGCCAGAATTGTTCATCAACAAGGTTCTCATACTTCTTCTATAGTCACTACTATGGACTCAAACGCTTTGCTTATGGCAATCCCGTATTTCAGCTAGTTGGTAACGGATTGAAAACTCACTCCCTCGTAATGGAACAGTGGAACAGAAGGAAAAATATTTGATCAAAAGTGGACTGGAGACGACACGGTTCCTAATCCCGAAGAAAGAGCACCGTTCAGTACTTCGGAAGTACTACTTCCTGTCCACAACCATGGTATAGGGTGACTCGAAAGCTATTACTAGACCGTTCGTGTTGCTCCTACTTTTGAAAAGTCGCTTCAAGACACGCAACGAAGAACCAGGCGTGAAAAAGATGATAATCTTTGTAATATGTGACCCAGGCCTCAATGATCCATTGCGCAGCGGTTGCTGTGAGCAAGCTAACTACTCAAACATTGACCAACCAGAGAGAGAGTGATCATTGAAAGTTGAATCGGTTCGGGAAGGAGTGGTAGAAAAATTACTGATATTTAGGATACCGGCGCGGGCGAGTTTGTTGTTCACTATTGTCAGGCTTTCACCCGCTTTAGTGGGAGAAAAAGTCCCTACAACGGATTCACTCGCCCTTCACCATTTCCAGGATTCACTGTTTTCAGGCGGGACCTTCCAGTTCGCTGTCTCTCAAGAAACGCGCTAAATCACAGGTGAAAAATCACATTTAGGTAGATGCGCTCTACATTAAATTACCACACTCGGAACACGCGGGTCTAGGGACAAGCTAGGCTTGTCCAGGGAGAGCCGGATTTGAAGGTAGCACTCGCGAGATTGATGTTGTTGGATATCCATGATACCAAGGATGTCGCGTCTGCATCAAAGATGGGAAAAGTACAGTTTTGAAGCAAGCCCGCTCTTGAGCTCGCTGAAGGGGGGATAACTTGAGCAGAATAACAGCTAAATCTCGACTAACAAAACATTACACAACAGCACTCCGATCTGCGAGCCATTCTCGATCCGTGCGCACGTACGTGATGGAATTCGGCACGCGTACGCTGTGTAATGATCGTCCCTTCTCTTTCGAAATTAACTTGGGTCCCAAGTTAATTGCACCCTAGTGCCTCGGAGGCACAAGAGTGCATCAGTGCAACCATGCAATGGGGCGGTTTCAGACGCCAACATGACGTCGTTACATAGTCACTGTATTCGACGCATTATGCGGCGTGTGTAACATGCTGTTGACCAATACCTTGGTCACTTGCTCTCTTACTTGATTCCCTAAGCATGCTCGAACATGGAATGTTCATGGATTCACCTGCTGTGTGAACCTTTACCCTTATTGTTACCCTCTTGAGCAATAGTCATGGCACATGGTGGAGAACCCGGGCCTTGACCAATACCTTGGTCACTTGCTCTCTTACTTGATTCCCTAAGCATGCTCGAACATGGAATGTTCATGGATTCACCTGCTGTGTGAACCTTTACCCTTATTGTTACCCTCTTGAGCAATAGTCATGGCACACATGCAGCATCGAACTCTTAATGAATCTCTTTAGGGCGCGCAACCTTAGCTTTTAGCGGAGATCCCGTAGATATTGCGTTACATTCTATGCAAATACAGGCCCGATCGCAGCTTCCCACCCAAAACTCGTTAACTCAACTCGTCCCGCCCTGCCGACTTCATCTGTGGCCATCGGACGGCCATCCTCACACAGTTGAGGATCGCACGTCAAGATGCAGACAACCAGAAACTACCGGGTGGCAGAGGGTGGGCAAAAAGAGCCAGCACGCTCACCAGCAACTGATAGATGATAAAGTAAGGTATCAATAATCCTCACACTAACACTTAGGACCAGCAGCAACAACATCGCACGAAATACACAGGTTCAGAGTAACTAGCTTCGCGGGCGAGCGCGTCACGGTCCTGTTTTTGCACCACTCTACACTCCACAAGCTTCGTGTAGGGTAACAAGCAAGTTGCAAAGGGCATAAGTGGAGCTCGAAAACTTCTCAGGAAACTTAAATTCCTTAGAAAGATAAATTTGACCCACTTTCACGTTCGCGGTCAACCGGGCGTGCGAGAGTGCAGACTTGGCGTGCGCTAAAACGACTGAGCATCTTCGACGAGAGACCAAAACGAGACAACCACTGACCGTGTCTGAAACTTGTTGCCCGAAGGCTTTCTCGTTGATGCTGGAATGAACCCGAGGATCAACAGAGTGATAGTAGATATTCACCGTGCCACTACTGTGGTGCTCCCAGAGTCTTTTAGGTCCACTCGGGCCTCAACAAGTCCATCAAATCTTCACTCCGAACTAGCGTTTCCGTTTGGTCGTTGGGCATGTCCCAGCTCGTCCCGACGGTGTACACCGAGTCTACGACATGGACTCGGGACTCTCACGATTTGTTCGATTACGAAAGTCAACATGTCGTTCGCAGAGACTTCGCTTTAAACCAAACGGTCAGATTCGTGCGGAGCAATGGTAGGCTATATGTCACCAACAGAATTACTCGTTGGTTTCAACGTAGATGACGTTCGTATGGAAGATGCCTCCGTGGAGGCACTCAGTCGCCCTAGGGAAGAGTCGGACTACCTGATGAAATGTATCAATTTCGATTCAAGGTAGCGCATGAGTCGTATAAATGATATGAACAAACTTGTTTCCCTGAGGTTTATGATTCAACCAGCGGATAAACAATCCGATGGGAGCCGACTGATTCCCAAAAGACTATGGCTTGTCGTGAAAGAGGTGCGAGTCAAACTTGACGAGTTTGCAACTACTATCATCTGAGCTCAGCTCGGACCCCACACCCTCACCGAAGGAGACATTATCAAACTTGGTCGATTCAAATTGCGTGTTCGGCAGCTATGTGCAGATTCCGAAGATCAACTGGTGACATCTAAGCCTTGTTTGATACATCATCACAGCTCAGGTGCGGCCGGACCTGAGCGGCTCTGAAACTGCGACCGCGGTAGCGCGCTGTGCCCCTCCTGAGGCCGATGGAATGCCCTGTAGAATATGTTTGCTGGAAGTAACACGTGAGCAATTCAGTGGGAGTGCGTTACTCTATGTATCAGGCCTCCGGTTCCGATGAGGACGATCCATTGATCGAAGCGTGTGCTTGTCGAGGAAGCATTCGTTATGTCCATCTCGGCTGCTTGCGTCACTGGATTCAGGGCAGACTGTGCCTCGGGGGAAACGATGGGCTCAATGCCCCCCACACGTACGAGCTGTGTTATCTCTCGCCATGAGAGCTGACGTAGATATCTGTTCCGCCAACTAGCGTGTGAGCTCTGCCGGGCCAACTACCAAACGAATGTTATACTTCATGATGGAACCACATCGCAGCTCGTGAGTTGCCGATATTCGAGACAGCGCGCAGTTGGATGCACTCAGGTGCCCTTGCCTGAGACCAAAGCCCCTTATCTGGTCCTGGAAAATATGGTGCGAAATGACCCTACACAAGGTAGTAACCTTGAAGGTCAGCAGCCGAGAGTTGCAATTCAGGTATGGATGTCCAGTCGTCTATGCACTCAAAAGGCGTCTACGTCATCTCCCTTGCTGGTAGGAAGGCGTTGAAGCTTGGCCGAGGCCACGAGAGTGACGTACGAATAGCCGACGTAGTGCAGAACCATCTCGAGGGAGTAGTCCAGCACAGTTACGGTGCAGGTTTCTATATCGCGGTGGCATGCAACGGTGTCGATCGCGGACGATGGACGGTTCATTCTGGAAGACCATAATTCGAAGTTCGGGACGCTGGTGGCAATGCGGCGGCCGAAATTGATCAACGCCTCGACAGGTCCGTCAGCATGTCGAACACCTTCTGGTTTCGAGTTTGCCTTGGCTCGCTATTGATATACGACACGGTACAGCCGTATAAGGGCTGACCGAACACTGATATCTGCTCCTCGAACAAGCACGTTGTTTTAGGTGACGATGTGGCTGATGCCAGTGGCCCAATATTGACGGTTCAGGCCGGGAGAACGGTTTTCAGGATTAGCACGAGGAAGCCCAGGTGGGTTCATGATAGACTAAGACCGATGTGTGATCTGGTCGTGAGCAGAAGAGTTGAGTCGTCAGAAGAGAAGACAATACCGGCAGAAGGGAACGTGGCTCCAGGCCTAGCCGAGCAGCACGTGCTGGCCGGAGCTCAGTCACTATAGCAACAGATCTTGGTCGTTGTGGAGACAGCGAGATTGGGATTCATTTCTGCCGTTGTTGACTCTACTCTGTGAGCTACCCTTCATCGAATTGATTATAATACGGCTACACGATTCGGCTTAGCTCTCTTGAGTGGCCTTCCCTGATTACACCGATGTACACTTGTTCTCTCGAGTAGTTAGTACTCAGATAGTGACCCAACTAGTGTGACGTGTTAGACCATCTCAATATCGATGGTAGTGGTGGTCATCATATTTTTGTCATCCCAAGAGCTTGTCTTGAGTTGATCGGGTCTGTCTACGAGACCTATGTTCTCCCCAGTTCCTCATCGTACACCCATTTCTTATGATCGGCGGCCACTGCCTCGGATGTCTGACCTACCGGGCGGCATTCACAATGGCACTAACGGTGGCTATGACCTATTGGGGTTGCCATGTCGGACTAGTATACTTCCTTTACAATGACATGGTAAGGGCCTCCTCGAGGTAGCCTGCTAGGTCAAATTTTGCTCATTACGTCAGGCATACGTCGATTGGTTCAGGAAGTGGCTGATTGCACCAATAGTATACCTGGCATGGTCGGCGATGTTACTCAATTTCTTGCTAGCGGTACTCGTCCTCACTCTGAACGAAACAGGGCGGCGGTATGCGCTATCAGCATGGATAGGAGTAGTGTCGGTCTCAATAGTCATGTAGGTGATTCACTACGTTAGTGATCCATACCTTCTAATCTTCTACTGTTCTCAGCTGGCTTGGTTACGCGGCGTTTGCTTGCCAGAAACTCAAGGGAAACGCGTTTCTGCTGTTGCCAGGAGTAACAACAGTCATTGTGTGTGCATCAGCGACCTCTGCTCGGTTACTCGGTCAGACCCAGATCGTGAAAGCCGCCGCGACTTCAGGAAAATACTCGACCGCTAAGATGCTTGGATCGACAGCAGCCGCGATGCTGTTGAATCCGGGGTCAGCTGAGCACGTATACGAGATGTTACCTACCCCGATGAATCTATGTTTCTGGTGGGGAATAAGACTGTAGGTTGCCTCCGTTGAAAATACTAGTGCAATTTTTCCGGTGGTAGAGAGTACCCCGCGCTGGCATTCGGCCTGGGGTCCTTCGCCGTTCTAGTCTGCCAGTTGATCACCGGTATGGTACTCCAGCCGGTATTGAAAGCTGGGGGGAACGGGGCAGAGGGTGTCACAGCGGACAAGATTCAGCTCTGGTATTTGACTTTGATATGAAAAAAAATTGACTCCAAGATTTGTGTTATATTCCAGGTATGCGCTAGCGCCGAAGAATCGGCGAATATTATATCAGAAAGAACTAGCCGACATCGAGGTGTCAGAGATTGAACGGCTGATGGACATTTCTGAATCTGAGAGTGAGATAGACTCACCCTTGGAGAGCATAGAAGATGGGAAGCTGGACGAACGCGTTCAGAATGATGAATCTACACATTAGCATAAGTACTCGCTAATATTCACCACTGGTATATTACCAGAAATCATGTTGTTCAAAAATGCCAAAATCATGTGCCGAGATAAACTGTTGTGTTGTGAGTTCACCCGTCGAATTTATCGGCTACAGAGTTCTCAAAACTCGAAGTGTTCACCTGTCTGATGAATCGTCGATGGGTCGGATCTTCACCTCAAGATATGCGGTGCGTATCTTTTGGTATCCTGAGGTTGACCACGTAAGATACAGAAGAGGTCCAGTAGAGGCACACGCCCCGCAAGTCGATCACGTCCACAAACTAAGAGTTCATTTCCAGATTGATTAGTTCATCATGAATATAAGGGGATCACTATCGCATGCTCACATTTCATCACAGGAACTCTATGAATCTCCACACGCCCCACACACGTCTCCGTTGCGATGACTGTACTGATCACCCGTTGAGCTGTTCGACACCACAGATCCTGTTGACATTGACTTATAACACTAGCCAGAGCGTTACTATTTGGAGGAACAGGAATGAATACAACAGCAATAATACAACCTCCTACTAGCCATAGCTAGGAGGGACAGACTGGGCAGACGGATTCCACAGCACACAACTATTGGACGATAGAGTGATCAGTATTGCCATAACTCGACAAGGTTACTCATCCAGAAATAACATACAGACGAATCACAGGTGCAGAAATAAAAGTACAGTAAAAGGTATATGCGAAACACAGCAGCACTTTGTTCGTGACTTGCGCAGAGCCCTCGTCAATGCGATATTATCTCCCCCACGTTGCCCGGCTGCCGCGATCCGAAGGTAGCGAGCTCATCAGCACGCTTGTTATTGCATCGTAAGGTGTGAATCCAAGTCACTTGCATGCGGTCCATCAACCCGTGTATCGCCTGCTCAGCGCGATCCTTCAGCTGTCGGAGTTCCTCCTTATTGACCTTCCATTGCGAGGGACCCATTTGACTTATCACCAGCTTGCTGTCGCCTTGAATAGTCAGGTTTGCAGGTTCTTCAATCAGTTCGTTAATTTTATCGAGGCCCATACAAAGAGCCTCGTACTCAGCCTCGTTATTAGTTCTCCCAGGCCCGAGCTTCAACGACCAAGCAGCTATCTCATCGAACCGTCCGTTCCCATCCTTCCTGTACAACACAGCACCACTGCCAGCACTCGACTGTCCGCCTTGTGATCCACCATCAAAGGTTAACATCAAATTTGGCATCAAGTTTGAGGGTGTAGATTGAATGCTGTTCTTCGCCACCTCAGGAACGCTACGAGTCGAAGCCTGAGAGCCAACGCCATCTTGGTATCGTGGTCGCTTCTGTACAGGCTCCAAAAACTTGGCAGCAGAGAGGTAGTTGCTCCTCAGACGCTCAGCTTGAGGACCCTAGAACCGAAAAGGACTTTCCTCCTCAGAACTCGACCGCGCCTACCATGAAGTTCAGACAGTTACATGTCCGATCGAGCTCCATGACAGCATCGAACTGGAGACTCTGCCGAATCCACAGAGTATTCTCGTAGACCTCCGTCCATTTCCAGTCACCCTCGCCAATATCAACAAGGACGCTGTCCACCTCAGCCAAACTCGATACGCCCTCGACAGGCGAGGCTTCCAGCAGACTTGGTTTCTCGCCCGAAACAGCTGTTGTTTCCACCAGGCTTATCTCCTCATTAACGTCACCAGAAAGCTTCGCAGCGATCGCCGGGCCGTCCCTCCCATCCACGACAACTTTTCCCGATTTAGGATAGTAGTTGACACCTCCGTTGTGTTTCCTCAAGCGAACGTGAAGCTGATTGCCGCCATTTTTCTCAACGAAGTTACCTGACCAGCCGATCGGCGACATAACGCGATAAAATTCAGCTCACTTTCCTCGATGTCCTCACCAAGTAGTTTCCTCAGCATCTCAATGAGCTCCCGCAGAGTTGTGCACGTCCGCGTCAAAGCCTTCGGTGGTGGCATCAGATGAGCGCAGTAAACACGATACGACGATGAGATCTCGATCGTTCCCCCCAACAGTAGTGACACTTGAAACTCGACATCCGAGGTTGGAAAAAAATTCCAAAACGAGTAAGCATTTCCAGTGCTGGTTGTGTAGAATTCAACACGTTTTGGTTTTCTTTGCAGCATGAGCCTCCATCTTCTTTTCGTGCTTCAAACTCTTCGAAGTGTGAGACTTCTTTTTGGAGGGCTGGAAAGGAATAACACGAAAAACAACTTTAACGATAAGATAATATTTACTTATAAATCCTGTGTGAGAAAATATGCACATGGCCAACAACATGTGTTGGTGACGATATGAAAAATCTGAAGAAATTTTGGGAAATTCGCATCGCTTGATGTACACTTCACACACTTCACACTTCACTTCATTGAGGTTTGATCTCTCTCCTATGGTTGTGTTGAACGATGATTATCTCGACAACTCTCCCAACACGACTAACGAGTCCGTAATAGCCAATGAGCATAACTTAATAATAATACAACAATACAAAGTGAAACCCTGAAGTAGAAGGTCCCCGGCGAGATGCTGTCTGTTGCGCTCTATAATATTTCCCACAGCTGAGCAGAGAATCGCTTCCGACCAGCGAACTCGTGAGGTTGATAAGCCGCCACCCACACTAGCAGTGGGGATAAACTACAAAATCCAAGGAAGAACGACAAAATCCAAGCAGGTTTGTCGCTCGCTCTCAGCAGTTCGGGTTTCTGGTCGCCTTGTCGGGTTTCGGGTTTACCCTTCAACCTGTCTTCCTTGGATTTTGTATATCACCCCTTGAAGTGGGTAAGGGGCAAACTTCTGTGTCACGCGCCTCGAAATTACGCGCTCGCCCTAGGAAGTATCTTCGGCGAGACTTATCTACGCATCTTTGGGAGAGACTTGATTTGTAGTTTCCAAACCCAATGGACACATGCTGAGTGAGTGAGATCGATCCCTTGGGCATGTCATTCTCCTAGGACCGCACTACCGGGCTAGGGTGAAGTCGCTCGGGGGGAAGGAACCCCTTGTAGTGGATGCTTAGATCAATGCTTCGTCCTCGGGTTTACAATGTGAACATGCATTCCTCTGTAGTTGACTAAGCACTATATTTAAATGCTCACATTAGTAACCGGGTTGGCTGGTTGTATTCTTACAACTGCTCAACTGCCCCTCGGGGTCCTCCGACGCAAGCTTCGCCGAGATCATCGCAAGTACCTCGCGACGGCAACAGCCGCAGTTCTCGTGGAGTTTTGGGTAGGTCTTCAGGACGGACTCCTGTTATCTCATTCGGAAGCTATCGATTGTGTTTTGTATAGGTGACGAAGAAACACGGTATTCTGGCCGGTCTGCTCGCGGGAGCATTCCACTTTGTCGGAAGTCGCTTGGTCATCCCTGCCGTCACTGGCGGGATAGGCTCCGGCAAGTCCACAGCTGTTGCCTGTTTGGAAGCGAAATACAATGTTCAGTGAGAATCACAACGACTGTTACGTACGGGATCCTGCTTTTCATTTCAGAGTTATTGACGCTGATAAAATCGCCAGGGAAATCATGGAGCCTGGGCGGTGCGCATTCAAGGAAGTAGTTGCTTCCTTCGGAGAGGGAATAGTCACTCCTCAAGGCCAAATCAACAGACAAAAATTGGGCGAACTTGTAAGCCGTCGAGACGATGAAATCACCATAGCGGTTGCCTTGCACATGCATTTGCAATTCATCTACACCTTCTCGACATTAAAATTCTTAATAGGGGTACCTTGGAGCACGAACTCGCTCGCCTGGTGAAATTGAAGTTTTTAATGTTGAAAAGGTGTAATGTGATGTAGCTGCTTCCTCGCATTTCCGTCCATGCGCAGGTATTCGGCGATGCGGAAGCTCGAGCCTTACTGGAGCGAATAACTCACAAGTACATAACTATGACTATGCTGTGGCGGCTCTTCTCGTATCGTGTGCTTCCCCCTTACAACAAGCCCCCGATGGTCCTGGACGTGCCTCTGCTTCTCGAGACGCCCGGCTTGTCGTGGATCTGTGATCCCGTTGTTGTCGTCTACGTTGACCCTCAAACGCAGCTCGATCGTCTCGTGAAGCGATGCCCGACTGAAAGTGTTACAAACTTGACAAACAGGGTCAAGTCGCAGATGAGTCTTGAGGACAAGATGGCTCTCGCCGACAGAGTGATCGATAACCGTGGCGACTTGAAAAGCTTGGAGAAACAAGTTGACGCTTTGTATGAGGGAGAAATCAAGAATATGTGAGGCGCTTGCCAATTCGTGTAATATTTAGAGCTGATGAAATTCGCGGTGTTACGGGCGACCCACGTTAGAAATTTTTTACCAGTCGCATTTCTTTTTTGTCGTTGTCAATATATGTGGGGGTAGAATCAGATGAAATTTTCCGCGCAGTTAGTTGATCAAGTATCCTCGATAATGCCGTCGAGTTTCGCAAATGACGTGAAGAAGACTACGCCTTGCATACCATCGGTTCCTCAACCAATGGATCGCTTCAGCGAAGTGGCACAGACCGTGGCCTCGTTGCCGGCCATTTTCCGCTTTCACCACAAGGCATATGATTCTGTTTTCGACGACCCTTATACTCCCAAGAACTTTGAGTTGGAACCCCCGCGCCGTCCCCAGGGTTGGAGTATGGAGGAGTGGCAGATCGCGAAGGAGACTGTCGCGTTGGGCATTACCTCGACTATTATCATAGTAGTTGATCGGCCGTCAGATTCCAGCAGGTGATAGAGCGTCGTCGCTCTCACCTTCCTAATTAATTTGTTTATGAATTCTCTCTAGTCATATCGTGCGATCGTTACGTCCTCAGAAGGCTAGAGTGCTTGCCGTATTATATTGCTTATCGTTGGAGTTTCACCCGTTTTACGTGAAGT